AGAGACCAAAGTAACCATTAAAATAAGATCAGTAGTATTCAGGTACAGAAATGTAATAATTAAGTGTAAAATAACACTGCATAGTGTTCACTGTATAAATTAAATATAGATTGATCTTTGTCAAAGCTGTGTTTTGTTGTTTGTAAAGACAGCAGCAGGTATTTATAGGCTGCTGTACCTTTAAGACCTGATTGCTGCTTCATATTTTTGTGGAAACTGTGATACATTACCATTCAAAAGTTTGGGGTACTTTTTTTTCTTTCTTTTTTTAATTAAACACTTATTGAGCAAGGATGCATTAAATACGTCAGAAGTGACCATAAAGACATTCATAATGTTAATACAGATTTCTATTTTTCTATTCCCCCCTTCTATGTAAAGCGCTTTGAGTGCCCAGAAAAGCACTATATAAATGTAAGGAATTATTATTATTATTCATCTAAGAATCCTGAAAAATAAAACGTATCAGTTTCCACAAAAATATTCGGCAGCACAACCGTTTTCACAATATATGTGACCCTGGAGCACAATAGCAGTCTTAAGTCGCTGGGGTATATTTGTAGCAATAGCCAAAAATACATACTTATAAATTATACGCAAAAATCATTAGGATTTCCTGTTTTATTTATATCGATGTCACAGCTTGCAGACGATCGCTATGCAAAAGCTTTGGCTCGTGACAGAAAGCTGTATGTGTCTTTTAGAAATCTGATGAAACTAAAGACTCTTCGGAGATATGAAGAATGCAATACTACTCTATAGGTACTCAAGAGTAACATGAGATTGGCAGAAACTGTGTGTTATGTCCCCTTTAAAAAAAATCTGACCATTGTTGTCAGGCTTTACAGGGTTAAGTGTTACTGATAACAGCGCTATGAGTGCTGAAGTGTTCAAATCTATTTAGTGGACATAATTAACAGCCCCTCAAGTGTAACGAATGTGTTTGGTTTGTGTAAAACTACTGATCTATGATCTTTACCTGCTCGTTGTCTTTGACCAGAGAACATTTGCCATCTCCATCCATCTTTCCGTCCACAGCATTCTGCAAGAAGCTTTTGACTTTTGACTCGGGCAACATGTCCGGCTGCCAAAGCAGCTGATCTTCCTCTGCGTACACTGAAAAACACATAACAGGAACATTTCTATCACAATCTAATACATCTCTAAACACACTGCATTAAAACTGTGCAGATGGTGAAAAATAATTTAAGTGCCATCAGGTTTCAACCAATCAAATCCCAATGAATAAACCCAAGCCTACATTATTTTGCACAGAATATTCTGTTTCACTAAGAAATACATGTATACAATATGTCAAAGGCATTTCATGTTGTATTTAACGCAGGTGACACCTAATTTATGTAAATATTGACTCAAATCTGCACTTACTCCATTTAAATATGAAAGACTTACCTTTTTCCTGGTCATTATAACAGGTAAGAGCAGGAATTTCTGCCTGATATTCAGATCCCACCATGATTTCCTGTGAAAACACAAATTAATAAAATATACACTGATCTTCAGCAGGTTTACAACTTTGTCCGACACACATAAATGATAGGAAACAACGCCATTTGAACTCAAACTTTGAATATGACAGTAAATAATCTAATATTTCTTACTGTAGATTACAATGACAAAATCTATAGGAAAAAGTGATTTTCCTCACCTTGCGAGAGTCTTCAGGACTCAAACCATCATCCTCACCCTCAGATTCTTTGTCTCCATCGTAAACCACATTCGCTGGAAAACAAACAACAAAATTGAGCGCTACAGAAAATCAGATACTCGAATGGAAACTGGAGCATAACCTGCACTTTCATAAGCGATGTCAAATGTACACAAACAATGTCTATGTGCTTACAGCGAAGAGTCAAATAAATGCAGCCTTGGTGAGCAAAAGAGACTTCTTTAAAAACAAATCTTGAGATCTCATTACAACTACTCTACTCTAGTGACTTACTTTATCTAACGTCATGTCGGGCAGCTCATCGGTCAGCTCTACAGACGAGCTGTCCGCACTCGAGCCTCCGACAGTGCTGTCTGCAGCTTCATATCTGTATAATGCCAGCAGCTCTTCCAACGGCATGCTCCCCTCCTGTGACACAGAACTTTAATTCAACACTTAATCACTGCAAACAATTCAGCAAACTACAGATGAAGAATATGTGTGTGATTACATCAGTGCTGGATAATATTAACTGATATTCATACGGTGATAATATACACAAGTTTTGTTTTTACAATGTCAGCCTGGTCAAATTTGTAATCAGCCACAATATAAAAATAAAATAGAAACCTTCTCCAGATCAGCGATTTCCGAGCTCCCGCTTGACTCGCCCTCCCTCATCTCCTCTTCCTCTAACGTACGCTCATCATCGAAATCATGCACCAGCATTTCTGCTGTCGGGTCAAAATCGTGATCTTCCGATGACAAAGAGCCAACTAAAGAGATCAAATCAAATAAAAAAATATTTAATCTTATATAATTTTGATAATTAATTATATGCATTATACACACACACACACACACATATATATATATTGCATTTATAAAAATATATATTTGATCTGATTTTATATATATATTTATAAAAATATATATTTGATCTGATTTTATATATATATGTATACACACACACACACAATCGCATATCATTTATACACAAAGAAACACGTTTATATATATTTTTTATATATAAATATATACACACACACACACACACACATACATTATATATATATATGTACGTATGTATGCACATATGTGCGTGTGTCAATAAACATTTGCCATTATCAAATATATTTAGAGAAATATTTACCTGGGCTTGTACTTCCCAAGGAAGCCTGAAATTACAAAAGGAAAAAAATACATGTTAAGTTTTGGGAATTTACAGAATAATGAGTACTGTTCACTTCTCTTACCAAAAAGTTACTATAGTAACCATAATTTCCACAGCTACTACTGTTACTATTACTACTGTTACCCACGGTAAATTATTATGGAATATATTTCAAAACGTATAATATGTTTTCAAAGTCTATGTAATTTTCTTAAGATTTTTGTTTTGATGAGAGTGGCAGCTGATAATAATATTACCAGAGTTTTACTGTAGTAAAGCTGACTTTAAAGTACTGTTACCATAGTACTTGTTTGTAAATAACAAGAATATGAATAGTAATTCATATTAATAATAATAATAATAATATGCTTCTCCAGATGACAGACCAATGAAGATGAAATAAATTTAATTAAAATTAATCAAACTGTCACTGACTATAAAAAAATATTTAAATTAACAAAAATGATTCATTAAAAAAATAAAATAAGTGACTATTTGTATTTTTTATTAATATAATTTATATTTGAAAATGATACACAGAATATACAACAGAAGCAGTTTGTGAGGGTCACTAACAAACCAAAGCAATATTTACTATTTATTCAGAGGTTCCGAGTCTCTTAAACAAAATACAGCCATGAGGTATTATAAAATAATACATATATTTTATTTTAAAATAGGACAAAAAAATAAATGGTTTGATGTCGTCACTTCACAGCATCAATCCGGTACTGCAGCAACGAAAAAATCACTCTGAAACCACACAGAAGTATGTAGTCGATAAAACGGGAATAACAGAAACGTAAAAATATGAGAAAAGCGCGAAATAAAATAAACTAGCTGCCTCACGACTAAACTAGCCATCGCTCGCTGAGGCTTTGGCCGCTCGCAGATCTGACGCCAAATACGGACGCTCGACGCTAAAAGAGGCCCCATCGACGCTTCAAACACTCGTTTTGACGTCCAAAACTGTTCGTATCTCCACAAAATCGGCCTTTATTCAAAGATAAGACATTATTACACGTAATCAGATACAGAAATCCCAAACTAATGTACTGTGGAAAGAGAAATTAACGGCCAAAATATGACACCTTCCCCCTAATTTCCAACTTACCTCCGCCATCTTGGTACCTTTCGGCTACTAAACTGGCTTTACGACGGAGCCCGGATTGACATCGCGAACCAATGGCGTGAGAGTATTCCTGCAGGTTCGCTCTGATTGGCTGACGCGTTTGCAACGCACGGCGAGCGGGGAACGGGATTGGCTGCTGAGAGTGAACTGGGTGCCGTCGAAATACTGTATTCCAATGGGTTTAATTACCTGAGAATTCATTAGGATGTATTAAAAATACACATATTAAGTTGTAATTTATCATTCTTTTGAAAACATTCTGGGTAAACCGACTGTATGTGATAACTTTTTTTTTGTTTTTAATTATGCAAATTATCAATCATCAGTAAATGCAATGATTTTAGGCTACTTGAATGAAAGATCAATATTGTCTATTTAGAACAAAAATCTTTAGGAAAATAAGATTATTTTAAAACATATAGGTTTTCTTGCCATCTTTATTTATCATTCTACATCATACGTCTAGCTGTTTAATATTAATAGAGCAGGTGGTGGCGCTAGTCACTAGTTAAACACACAATTTCCAAACTTTAAACCACAGTGTTGAAGTGAAACAAGTGATAGTTCCCTTTTTTTTTTTTTTTTATGTAAATGTAATATGAATTGTCTTGTTACTGTGCAGAATTTATGCTGCATAATTATGAAACGTATTTCATTCCACAACATACGGTTTATTAGATTGTATTTATCATAAACAGACTTTTTAAACACAAACATAACTTTTAATGCCAGTTTAAATTAGATCTCTTCCAGCAGTTAAACGAAATCCCTCAAACTGTAACGTGACTTTTTCTGCCGGTGACACATCTGAGTCTTCACCTGTTGGCTCACCTGCACAGGTGAAACTAGATTGGGCGACGCAGCAGATGAAAGCAGAACAAGAAAGTTGAGTTCTCATTTGTCACTGAAGGCTTCAGTCTGACAGCATGCACATTATTAAAGCACACAGGGGATGTTAAGTTATATTTATAATTCAGTGCATGAATAAATGCCTCATAAATGTGCAATAGTTCAGTGCACTTTAGGAAAAAATCATTGTAAATGCAGAATTCCCAGCTTTGTTGACTTTCATCAGCTGCAGAAATGGAGATTGAATCAATGGTAGCAAACTGTGCACTCATAAAAGCACGAGAAGGTAAGAATATTGATTTGCCTGTTTTTCATTGCATTTGATTAAGAGATGTATTTTTAAAAACAATGTGCATTAAACCAGTATAAAATGTGCTGTGAAAAAGTGTTTTGACAGATTGTAAACAGTAAATATATATATATAGGCTATTTCTGAAGTTGTAATTAGAACACATTATTGGAGTAGGTTTTACAAGAAAATACTATTTCAGTCTTTGAAATGTCATGTTTAATTCAATGTGTTACTCGCTGTTTCTTTGTAACTGTTTGTGAAATTTACTAACAATTTCTAAATGAAAATTGTTTCTACACCAAATTTGTTTGTGTGCACTCAAAAAAATTGGTGTCACTCAGTAATTGCTATTCAATTTCACAATTAATTGCAAATAAACAGCAAGTAACACATTGAAATAAACATGAAGATTTAAAGTAGAAACACTAAAATAGTATTTTCTTGTAAAACATACTCCAATAATTTTTGTTTTATTTACAACTTTGAAAAAAACTAACATTTTTTACAGTGAAGGGAATTTTTTATTACATTAGTTAAAAAAATGTAAACAATATTTTGCTGATTATTTTATAATTATTATGCTTTTATGGTAGATTATGGAATATAAGTGGTTTTAAAAATAATTGCACTGCAGTTCATTTAACATGAGCAAAGACAAAATAGTGATAAAAAATAAAAATAATTTGATTGCTAATCAATTTTTAATTATGACATTTTGAAGCAGAATGACTGAATTAGTATTTTCTTATAAAATGTGCTCTAATAATCTTTGTTTTACTTTTCTTTTTCTTTTTTTTTTCATTTTCGCAGTGTACAGGACCTATAAGATACACTTTTCCCTTTATACATTCATATAAATTTTAACCTAAAATCATGTGTTGAGCACATTTTATGCTTAATATCTCATTCTGACACTTCAAAACACTGAGAAAAAAACAAAAATTGTGATGTTTTTCAGTGTTCGGTTTAGTTCCCTGTTCCTCTGTGGGCAAAAGAAACAGCACATTCAACATATTTTCGTTTGTCCTGCACCTCTAACCTGAAATACTCTGACCTCAAACAAAACCAGACGCACAATGCCTTTGACGTCACACGAGCCTTGCATCACAAACAGGTCGGACTTCTTTCACTGCAGTGAACAGCCTGCCAGCAATCCAACTCATCTGAGCTCTAAAAATAGATTCAGTAGATGTTTCCAAATATGCAAAACCTGTCATGTTTTGTCAACTTTACAACTAGACAAACGTTTTTCAGCACTAACTGCTCGAGTGAACAGGTGTAAGTCATTCTAAAATACTTTCTCACATAATAAAGCTGTAGTTTTTTGTGTGGTGAAGAGTATTGTCTGGGTGAAGGTGTCCGTAAGGTGTGTCCTCTCATATCTGATATCTACAGTTCCTACAGCTTCATTCCCACTGCTATTTTTAGCACAGGCCCATATAGTAGAGGATGCTGTGGATTCTTTTCAGTTTTACTGTCAACAAACCGTCATTCAGACAAAACACACACACACACACACGTGATTAATAAACCATCTATGTTTCAAAAACAATATTTCTATAGTGACATATGAGTGCACCGCATGTCTAACTTTTTCTCAACACCAAACCTTCTGAAGTACTTGATAGAATAATAAACATAAATATTATTTTTCATATTTCTAAAATATTTTTAGGGAAGTGTCATTCTAGTATTGCTGAAAATTTCAAAGGGCACAGTTATGGATGGCTAAAGTACCCTAAAAGAGATTATTAGGCTAATTAATAAATTTTTACATCACAATAGCATTTAATGTACATTTTGTTTCAGTTAATGTTTATTTGATTTAAAATAGCAATTTTTATTTATTTATCAAATTTTTTTTTTACATACACAGACACACATATATATGTTTACATCATAATAGTATTTATTGCACTTTTTATTATTTTATTTTATTTTAGTTCATGTTTATTTTAAGTATCAATTTTTATTTTTATTTTTAATGTAAGTATAATCATCGTAGTAATGAAAAGCACATTTTGATTACTAAAAATTTCAGTGATGCACATTTATGGATGTCTAAAGTAATCTAAATGAGATTAAATAAATAAATAAACAAACAAACCCATCATTAAATGTACCTATTTAATTTGATAGCAATTTTTATTTATTTATCAAATTTTTTTTTTACATACACAGACACACATATATATGTTTACATCATAATAGTATTTATTGCACTTTTTATTATTTTATTTTAGTTCATGTTTATTTTAAGTATCAATTTTTATTTTTTAATTTTTATTTTTAATTAAGTATAATCATCGTAGTAATGAAAAGCACATTTTGATTACTAAAAATTTCAGTGATGCACATTTATGGATGTCTAAAGTAATCTAAATGAGATTAAATAAATAAATAAACAAACAAACCCATCATTAAATGTACCTATTTAATTTGTAATATTTAATGGAAATACAATTGCAGTGTTATCTCATGTTATCCAAATGTCTTTTTTAATAGGTCTAATAATTTCTGAATGCTACATAATGGACATATAATGGATTTGATGGTTCATTACAGGTTCTCTAAAGCACTAAAATCAAAAGTTCTCTGCAGGTTCTCATATTACTTTCCACTGTAAAGCTCTTTTTTGTTTCTCTGCTTCTTCCGCTGTGCAGTAGGTAACGGTGGGAACCGCAAAGGAAGGAGTCGAAAATGGAAGGAATTTCTGCGTTTCCCGCACATAAACGAGTGCACAGAGCTGGAGGAAAGCATTGGTGAGAAGTGGTTTGGGTTTGGTTTTTAAGGTGTTTTAATTCCTTTGCAGCAGAGTTTATATACAGTGACACAGATCCTGCGCTGCACATGTACACTATGGGAAAACATCAAATGATCAATACTTCAAATTAATAAAGATAATGTCCTGATTGTTGTTTTTAAGCTGCAATAATATACTTGCATCCTGCGCTGCACATGTACACTATGGGAAAACATCAAATGATCACTACTTCAAATTAATAAAGATAATGTCCTGATTGTTGATTTTAAGCTGCAATAATACAGTGGGTACGGAAAGTATTCAGACCCCCTTAAATTTTTCACTCTTTGTTATATTGCAGCCATTTGCTAAAATCATTTAAGTTAATTTTTTTTCCTCATTAATGTACACACAGCACCCCATATTGACAGAAAAACACAGAATTGTTGACATTTTTGCAGATATATTAAAAAAGAAAAACTGAAATATAACATGGTCCTAAGTATTCAGACCCTCTGCTCAGTATTTAGTAGAAGCACCCTCTTGATCTAATACAGCCATGAGTCTTTTTGGGAAAGATGCAACAAGTTTTTCACACATGGATTTGGGGATCCTCTGCCATTCCCTCTTGCAGATCCACTCCAGTTCTGTCAGGTTGGATGGTAAACGTTGGTGGACAGCCATTTTTAGGTCTCTCCAGAGATGCTCAATTGGGTTTAAGTCAGGGCTCTGGCTGGGCCATTCAAGAACAATCACAGAGTTGTTGTGAAGCCACTCCTTCGTTATTTTAGCTGTGTGCTTAGGGTCATTGTCTTGTTGGAAGGTAAACCTTAGTTCCAGTCTGAGGTCCTGAGCACTCTGGAGAAGGTTTTAGTCCAGGATATCCCTGTACTTGGCCGCATTCATCTTTCCCTCGATTGCAACCAGTCGTCCTGTCCCTGCAGCTGAAAAACACCCCCACAGCATGATGCTGCCACCACCATGCTTCACTGTTGGGACAGGTGATGAGCAGTGCCTGGTTTTCTCCACACATACCGCTTAGAATTAAGGCCAAAAAGTTCTATCTTGGTCTCATCAGACCAGAGAATCTTATTTCTCACCATCTTGGAGTCCTTCAGATGTTTTTTAGCAAACTCCATGCGGGCTTTCAAAATAAACAAACAAACCCATCATTAAATGTACCTATTTAATTTGTAATATTTCATGGAAATACAATTGCAGTGTTATCTCATGTTATCCAAATGTCTTTTTTAATAGGTCTAATAATTTCTGAATGCTACATAATGGACATATAATGGATTTGATGGTTCATTACAGGTTCTCTAAAGCACTAAAATCAAAAGTTCTCTGCAGGTTCTCATATTACTTTCCACTGTAAAGCTCTTTTTTGTTTCTCTGCTTCTTCCGCTGTGCAGTAGGTAACGGTGGGAACCGCAAAGGAAGGAGTCGAAAATGGAAGGAATTTCTGCGTTTCCCGCACATAAACGAGTGCACAGAGCTGGAGGAAAGCATTGGTGAGAAGTGGTTTGGGTTTGGTTTTTAAGGTGTTTTAATTCCTTTGCAGCAGAGTTTATATACAGTGACACAGATCCTGCGCTGCACATGTACACTATGGGAAAACATCAAATGATCAATACTTCAAATTAATAAAGATAATGTCCTGATTGTTGTTTTTAAGCTGCAATAATATACTTGCATTTGATTGCATGAATGCACTGTATTATTTTCTGTCCTTCAGAGCGAGATTATTACAGTCTGTGTGTCAAAGAGCCCATAGGAAAACATCTCTTCCGGCTTTTCTGTGCAACCAAATCTGATCTGCAGCACTGCATCGACCTGCTGAAACGGTACATTTGATTGCATGAATGCACTGTATTATTTTCTGTCCTTCAGAGCGAGATTATTACAGTCTGTGTGTCAAAGAGCCCATAGGAAAACATCTCTTCCGGCTTTTCTGTGCAACCAAATCTGATCTGCAGCACTGCATCGACCTGCTGGATGAAACGGTATGATCTTCTGTCAAGTACTGGGCTTCCCAAACAGGGTTTGTGAGTTAATGTAAAGCTTATCATTCTTTAAATCAAATGCAGAATTAGAATAAACAAATAAATGAAATAGACCTGAAATATAGCGCTATATATTCCATCAAATCCCTACACAGCCAGTTGCACTGCATGTTTCAGAGTGAAGCGCGGCACTTTGTTCATTTACACGCTTGCGGCTTATAATATAGTATTTTCAGCGCGGCTCGTGCTGCATCTCTGCAAGCGCTGTGAGTTAAAAGTGCATTTGGAAATGCAAACATACACATTCATGTAATTTCTAACATTTTTGTGGACAGCATTTCTCCAATATTACACCAAAATAGAAGCTTGAGGGTTTGAACGTTTCAAAATGAAGAATATACTGCACATATTTGTATTATAGTTTAGTGTTAGTTGGTTATTGTAAAAAGTGAACTTAGTGTTAAAACCCTTAAAAGTAGGCTAACTATTTCTATTAGCAGTAGAGTCTTTTGTTTTTTTGTGTCTGAATGAAAGTCATATAAAATGAAATGTCTTGTCACAGTTCAAGTTCAATCGAAATATATGGCAAAATAATCACAATATAATGTTTGCCTATATATATATATATATATGAAGAGTTAATTTGCAAAAACAGATAACTCCGTTTTTAACAATTCTCAGACATGTTTTTTCATTGTGCATTCCAATTCATCTCAATCAAACTTTAGTTGGGTTCTTTTGATTAGGTTAAAAAATAACTAATAATTACAGCTAACTAACACAATAAAACACAATAAAAACATGATTACATAATAAAAAACATGATTTTTGAACATTTCAAAAGTTATCTGTTTTTGCAAATAAACTCTTCATATACAGGTGCATCTCAATAAATTAGAATGTCGTGGAAAAGTTCATTTATTTCAGTAATTCAACTCAAATTGTGAAACTCAAATAAACAGTCTTGGAACACTCAACATTCACTCACTCATCTGTATAAACATTAATTACGCACAGATGATTTTGTTATTCTTGTTGCACGTTTTAATGCAATATTTGATTTTTGTGCATTTTTGAGGTGGCAGATGCTTTGGCAAGTTTTATGATCAGACACAAATTTGCCGAAGCACGCAGTGAAACTAAAAGGTGAGTTAATAACAAATGAACAATTCTATCTAAAACTATTTTAAAAAATTTATTGGTCAACTTACCTATGAGGACTTACCTATATATATATATATATATATATATAGTATAAAATACTATTTCATCCGTTACACATTTAATACAAAATGATACTTGCCATTTATTTGTAATTTGTGAAATTTACTTGCAATTTCTAAATGAAAAGGAATCATACATCAAATTGTTTTCAATGTACATGAAAATTTACATATGACCTCATACTGAATTGTCTATTTTACATTTTGTGACATGCAAATTGTTTATGTTAGTGAATAAATGCTGTTACTCTTTCAGGCGGAATATGAGGTCACGCCGGATGACAAGAGAAAGAACTTTGGCAAACAGCTCATCAACAAATATCTTACCTCACAGGTTTTTAAACATCCGCTTATTCTTTTCACCCTATTTCCAATCTGATAATCAAAACTTAATATTGCAGTAAAATGTCACTAACTTGTCTAAACAACCAGAAAAAGGGCTAGATGACTGTTTCATGTGAAGGAAAGTGTTTTCACGCTCATGTATGTGTTCAGTCCTCTAGGGCGCGTGTGATTGTCGACGGGGAACTTGACAAGTGCAGCTGCGACCTGGAGCTCAACGCTTCTGAAGATATATTCAGCAGCTGCCAAAAGTCAGTTCCACAAGTCTGTTTATCAATGCATCTGTACATGCGTGTCTGTGAGCATTGACGTGACATTTATTTGGTCTTGTAGGGCACTTCATGAGTGTCTAAGTGGAGCTCCATTTGCAGAGTATCAGAAAAGCATGTATTTTGACCGATTTCTGCAGTGGAAGATGGTGGAAAGGTTAGTGTGTTTCGTTTTAAAGGGATAGATCACCCAAAAATGAACATTTGCTAAAAGTTTACTCCCCCTCAGTCCGTCCAAGATTAGGATGAGTTTGTTTCTTCATCAGATTTGGAGAAATGTAGCATTGCATCTTCACCCAAAAATGAAAAAATTGGTTGAAAATGTAGATGAGTTTGTTTCTTCATCAGATTTGGAGAAATGTAGCATTGCATCACTTGCTCACCAATAGATGCTCTGCAGTGAATGGGTGCCGTCAGAATGAGAGTCCAAACAGCTGATAAACACATCACAATAATCCACAAGTAACCCACACCACTCCAGTCCATCAATGAATGATGGACTTTTTCACTAGATGAAGCGTTATTATGGATTTTGGACCATCTTAACAATGGACAAAAAGTTTTTTGCTTCTAGATGTTAACTGATGGACTGGAGTGGTGTGGATTACTTGTGGATTATTGTGATGTTTTTATCAGCTGTTTGGACTCTCATTCTGACGGCACCCATTCACTGCAGAGCATCCACTGCTGAGCAAGTGACGCAATGCTACATTTCTCCAAATCTGATGAAGAAACAAACTCATCCTAATCTTGGACGGACTGAGGGGGAGTAAACTTTTAGCAAATGTTCATTTTTCATTATTAACTATTCTTTATTAAAGCATCACAATCAATGCTGTTTAGTTCAGGAAATGTTTTGAACAGACTATGACATCTCGTTCATACCTGCAGACGCTCGATCACCCGAGACATATTTCGAGAGTACCGTGTTTTGGGAAAGGGTGGGTTTGGAGAGGTAAGACCAAATAGCCATTCTTTTGAAGTGGAGAAGATAATCATACCCACAGAAGCTTGTAATAGAAATAAAGAGGAAAGTGTGGGAAGGTAACGTGACGCCTCTGATTCCAGGTGTGTGCGTGTCAGTCCCGAGCATCAGGGAAAATGTACGCATGTAAGAAACTGGAGAAGAAGCGCATTAAGAAGCGGAGCGGGGAAGCCATGGCCCTCAACGAGAAACAGATTCTAGAACGGGTCAACAGCAGATTTGTGGTGAGATTTATGATTATTATCAGTAAGCAAGTCTCAGGTTTTTGACGTAAATGTTTATGCATGTATATAATATATAAATAATTCATACAATATATATATATATATATATATATATATACATTTAGTAGTATTTAGTAGTAAAAAAAAAATACATTTTTTTAAGCAAAAGTTTCTTGTTCTCCTTTTTGACTTTGTACTGAAATATGAGCAGTTTTTTGTGACTTTGCTGTCTGTGTGTTTATCTGAATGTGTCAGGTCAGTTTAGCATACACTTACGAGACAAAAGAGGCTCTTTGCCTGGTGCTGACGCTGATGAACGGAGGAGACCTGAGGTTTCACATCTATAACATGGGCACCGAGGGGCTCAACAAAGAAAGAGTAGAGTTTTATGCTGCTGAGATCCTGTGCGGCTTGAGCCATCTTCATAAAAAGTCTATTGTTTATAGGTAGGTCATAAAACTGAGAGCTGTCGTGTGACTCTTAATGGGCTTGACGCAGTTGACATAGTTTCCAGAAATCTACCTGTGAGAAAGAACCAAACAGATGGAGCCTGTCTCATAATTGCATGTTTTGTGTCGTTTCTATTAGGGATTTAAAGCCAGAAAACATTCTGCTGGATGATAATGGTATGTGAACTTCCCCATAAATACAGAAGGCGTTAACTGCCCATACAAGCTTTGTAACATTCCCTTCAGGATCTACAATTTCCCTAAACTTTCTATTTTTGGCATCAACCAGGAAACGTTTCTCCAAAATTACTTTCATTATCTTAAATGAGGAAATGAAAGCACTTCAGGGCATGTCAGTTTGAGCGTTTGTTGTGTTTGACATCATTAACCTGTTGCATAAAATTCCGATCCTATACAGTGATCTCAAAAAGTCTTTGCGCTCTTGCATTAAACTTACAAATATCTGAATGTTGTTGCATGAGATCAAGTGTTTCTGCACTTAAATGCTGTCTATCTATCTATCTATCTATCTGTCTATCTGTCTGTCTGTCTGTCTATCATCTATCTATCTATCTATCTATCTGTCTGTCTGTCAAACAATCAATACGGTATGAACCTTTGGCAGAGACATTTAAGCCCATCTGAGCCGTTTTGTTGGCATGCACTGTAAATTTCCACAGTTTGTCCTTCAGTGAAATCCAGTTTAATTGGGTCAGGACTCATCAAATGAGTCTCTTCCAATGTGCATCTTACAGTCTAAAAAACAACAAAAAAAAACAACAAGTGCAATGACGTTAATCATCAAAATAGCAAGCATAGCTTGACAGTAACACTAAAATACAAATATCTGTGGTCATTACGGCAATTTCTGTAAAATCATCAGTTCTGCTTTTATTTTTAGCTGCTTTTTAACTGTTAAAAACTGTCTAAGCCTTGAATGCAAAGTAAGAAAAAGACCGTATGTCCCTTCTTACAGAATCTTGTTAAATAATCAGAAGAAACACAAAAAAGGTCATTACATATAAAGGGTGTTTAAATATGTTTAGCATTTAACTATAATATAGGCTAATATTCACATATTTTATTATTAAATGCCTTAGGAATTAATGAATACTTTTACTGTTTTATTAAAGACATTTATATAACAATGATTTTATTTTTTCATCTTCCGTCAAGAGAACCCTTTTACAGTGATGATACTTTGGCAGCAGCATCAACACTTTAAGGACAAATCTCTGTTTTTAATCACTTTCTATTTTATAAAATTAACAACCTTGTTAAACTGAAAGTTTATAATGTTTAAATCTTACAAAAAATGAGCCTAAAAAATTGCCATTTATAAATTAAAAAGGCATCCATGTGCCTACATTCAAATTCATGTAAAATCACTGGTGAGAAAAATCTTGCTATGGTGAATAGTTCATCTTCAGGAATCTCTAACCTCAGTCCTGTGGCATATGTAGGTGAAGCTAAAATATCTGCTTGAAATGAGCCTGAGAACTACAGGCAGAAAGCTGTAGTGAGCCAGTGAGGGGCTGATAAGACGGACTTTACCGATCCATCAGTGTCACACTGGGGATGAGTCTCAGCTGAACCGTCCGTCGCCGCGCTGCCGCGAGCGCTCCAGTGCAGCACGAGCAACACTTCGGTGCAAGATAAAGAACAACACAAATATGAGAGAAAGACAATGGAACTAAAAACAACTATACTTCAATAAATGAAATTGTATAATTTACAAATCAGCACAATTAAGCACATAAAATCCATTAAAATGCGCTCATAATAACATAAATAGCCTAAATGAACTAGATATTAGAGTTTGTCACCAGTTCACTTGCCTACAAGTAACAAATGTTTTGTCCGACTTACCCACCAAAATCCTTTTTCCTGGCCGCATCGCGTGAAGGCATAACAGCTTCTTCCTCGACCCTTGTCTGATCATGAAATAGGATGGACAGCGAACAAAGGCACAAAGACTTTCACTTCAGCGTATGACACAAAACATCACTTCTTAATATGGCACAAAGACAGTCGCTTCAGCACATGACACAAAACTTTACTTCTACTAACGTTTAGGCACCCCTTTAAATGCCTCAGGTTGGGAATTAGTCTGAGAGCAATTAAAAGAAGATTCCTTTGTGTTTTGGCAAGTAGATTGCCCTGACTTTAGTTATGTTAAATTTAATTGAATTAAAATGACATTTTAATTAAATTAAAATATTTAATTTAATTTAACACACACACACACACACACTGTTCAAAAGGTTTTTTATGTATTTGCAAGAAGTCTCTTCTGCTCACTAAGGCTTGATATATTTGATAAAAAGTACGGTAAAAACAGTCAAATCTGTTTTCTCTGTGAATATATAGTAAAAATTTATTTCTTTATATATATATACACACACACACACTGTTCAAAAGGTTTTTTATGTATTTGCAAGAAGTCTCTTCTGCTCACTAAGGCTTGATATATTTGATAAAAAGTACGGTAAAAACAGTCAAATCTGTTTTCTCTGTGAATATATAGTAAAATGACATTTATTTCTGTGATGCGCAGCTGTATTTTCAGCATCATTACTCCAGTCTTCAGTGTCACATGATCTTCAGAAATCATTCTAATATGCTGATTTGCTGCTCAAGAAACATTTCTGATTATTATCAATGTTGAAAACAGTTGTGCTGCCCAATATTTTTCTGGAAACTGTGATAAATTTTATTTTTCAAGATTCTTTGATGAATAGAAAGAACAGCATTTATTTTAAAAATGAAATCTTTTAATAACATTATAAATATTTTTACTGGCACTTTTGATCAATTTAATAAGATAATGATAACTATGTGGTAATGTTTAATTACCATCAAAATAATAAACCACAAAAAATTCTTAATAGTCCTACAATAGTTTCATTTTCTTTATGCAATATATCCTGTTTTCATATTTTTCACATCTTTAGCACCAGAAGTGATCACAAACACATACTATAGTGTAAGTGTGGACTGGTGGGGACTCGGGTGTCTAATCTATGAGATGACGGCGGGAAATCCTCCGTTCCGCAACCACAAAGAACGACTGCCGAGACAGGAGATGGAAAGACGAGTTCAGGAGACGATCGAGCATTACGGGAAGAAGTTCGACGAGGACACCAAATCCATCTGCAAAAGCGTGAGCCTGCATTTTATGCACTGTTGAATCAGTACAATCCTCCTCTGTTTTCACCGATCTGATCTCATCTAATCTACCACTCGCTCTGATTAGGTCTTACTTTCTATTTAAAAAGAATACTATAAATATTTCCAATTGTTTTATGATTTAGCTCCTGGCTAAAAACCCAAAGGAGAGATTGGGCTGCAAATATGGGCGAGGATCAGAGGTCATCAAAGGTCACGGGTTCTTTAAGGACATCAACTTTACGAGACTTGAGGCAGGAATGATGCCGCCACCCTTTGTTCCCGACGTAAGTGAGATTTCTGATTATTATTCATGTTGAAAAGTTGTGCTGCTTCATATCTTTTGGAAACTGATACATTTTATTTTTCAGGATTCTTTGATGAATAGAAAGTTCAAAAGAACAGCATTTACTTGAAATATAAAAAAATATATATATATATATATTTCTGACTCCAATCTTTTGAAGAACAGTGTATATATTGAAGAAAAATAAACCTATTTTAGGGCCATTCAAATTGTCAAAAGTTCCATGATAATTAACCCTCATGTGTTTTAAGAATTTTCTTTTCCCCAAAAAAGATAGTTAATGTTTTTGCATTGGACTAAAACTTACCGACTCACACAGGATATAACTTTTTTTTGTTTTGTTTTGATCATTTTTGTACTTTCTTCACTCACCTTGTTACACCTGTGGTGTTCCTGGTCAAAAACGACCAGACTACAAAAATTGCTTCTAAATTTCTCATTATGTTATATTGCTGGATTCAATCTTTTTATCAACTCATTTTCTTTCAGTTACCACAGGTTTTGTCATTCTTTTTGGAAATGATTGATCGTAGGCCTCGTTGATCTGAACTTACGCATTTCCGTTTTTGAGTTAAACTGCCAGAATTATCCACAAATAATACATTTTCACTCAGAAACTGAGTTTTAAGCTCAGATCAATGAGGCCTAAAATCAATCAGTTTGAAACCAAAATTAACATTAATATAATATGCCCAGATCTTTTACTTTTACAGTTTTTCTTTTTTTCTTTTCTTTTATTCTGCAAAAAGGCAGAAAGATAGCCTATGGGTGCTGCCACTTTTCCTTTGCTGACGTGAATGCTGGTTTTCACTGCCAGAATTATCCACAAATAATACATTTTCACTCAGAAACTGAGTTTTAAGCTCAGATCAATGAGGCCTAAAATCAATCAGTTTGAAACCAAAATTAACATTAATATAATATGCCCAGATCTTTTACTTTTTAATTTTACAGTTTTTCTTTTTTTCTTTTATTTTATTCTGCAAAAAGGCAGAAAGATAGCCTATGGGTGCCGCCACTTTTTCTTCCTGACGTGAATGCTGGTTTTCACCTGAAAACAATCCTGTGATGTTATTCTCTCCACCAGCCGAGAGCCGTTTACTGCGCGGACGTCCTGGACATCGATCAGTTCTCTACGGTTAAAGGAGTGAGCCTCGATCAGGTCGATGAAAATTTCTACAGCAAGTTTAACACGGGAAGCGTGCCTGTGCCCTGGCAGAATGAGGTAAGGAAGAAACATCAGAGTAAGAAGGACAATTTATGCTCAATTATTCATATATGCTTTTATTAAATTCATTTAGATAATTGAGACCGAGTGTTTCAAGGACCTGAATGTGTTTGGACCGCGTGGAACAAGAACACCAGATCTGGACCGCAGCATCGTCATCCCACAGACCAGCTCCGAGACTCAGTTCATCAATCGGAGTCCTCCTGAATACAGCCGCCGGCGCCGGCTGCTGAACCGAATCTTCAAGAGACGCGTAAGAAGCCGCTGCACTTTATGACACACAAACTAGCTATGTTTACATGCACACGTATAGTTGGTTAGTTATCAGATTGAAAAGATTTCATGTAAACACCTCAACAGGTCCGATTGAGCTTGATCCGAACTAGATTTTCATCAAATTGAAAGGAAAAAGGATATGGAAGCCCGTTTCCGAAACAGGTTAAAAAAAAATTAGTTGCAACTTTTTCTAATAATTCTGAATTTATTTCTCATAATTCCAAGAATTCCAAGATATAAACTCGCAACTGCGAGAAAAAAGTCAGAATTGTGGGATAAAAAGTGATTAATTAACGAGAATTTGAATATACAGAATATTCAAGTTTGTTTACAAATTTATGACACAATTCTGAGCTTTTTTCTCGCAATTGCGAGTTTATATACACAAGCATGACTTCTTGCAAATCCGAGTTTATATCTTGCAATTCTCGGAATTCTGAGAAGAAAAAATCCGAAAAAAAATCGCAAGTCAGAATTAAGATATATAAACTCGGAATTGCGAGATAAAAAGTTGAGATTACCTTTTTATTAATTCTGAAATATAATTCTGAGTTTATATCTTACAATTCTGACATTGCAAAAGTCGCAAATACCAACATTTTTTAAAATAAAATAAAAAAACTCCCACCTGTTGCAAAATTCCTGTAACTTTTGCAGAATGTTATTTATAGCTCCACAAATAGGTCTTAAAAATGAATGTCATGCCAAATATGTTGAAGCTATGCTAATGATTTATGACAAGTTTTTTCGACATTAAAGCATCTCATCCATTCACTTCAATTCAAACAGAACAGCCTCTCGTCTCCCTGTAGGGCATTATGTTTGAGCTTCTAGGCTCCATTAAAAGGATAATTCACTCAAAAATAAAAATTCTGTCATTATTTACTCACCCTCAAGTTTCTTTCTTCTGTTGAACATAAAAGAAGGTATTTTGAAGAACGTGGGTAATGAAACAGTTTTTGGTCCCCATTGACTTCCATAGTATGGGGACCAGAAACTGGTTATCAACAATCTTCAAAATATCTTCTTTTATGTTTAACAGAAGAAAGAAACTCATACACGATTGGAACAACTTGAGGGCGAGGGTATAGGCTACATTTTCAGCAAATTTTCATTTTCAAGGCAAGTTTATTTATATAGCACATTTCATACACAATGGTAATTCAAAGTCCTCTACATAAAAGGAATTATCATAGAATTAAGCACAACAATAAAAGCAAGGGACTATCCCTTTAAGTGTTCACACGTGCTATGTACTAAATTAAATGAAAAACGTAATTATTTAACTTACCATTGATTAAGTAGGCATCTAGGTGTGAAATATAAATACATTCATCATTATGACATAGCCTTCTAACAACCGCCAAGATAATTTAGCTTATTTATAGTTGCTAAACGAGTATTAGCAAGTAGCAACGTTCTTGTAATACTATTATCCGCTTTCTGTTTGTCAACGCAGTGAATCTGTGAAAACTTGCCAAATAATTCGCCCTGAAGCGAAATTCCCGAATCGCGTCAATTCCTATTGACACAAACTGATTTCGCCCGCGACAATTCGCCGAATATCGGTAAATGTGACTTCACTTTAATTCGACATACACTGATAATCTTCTCCGAAAATCAACCGGAGTCCGTGTAACGTTAGAATCAGTTCGATTCGTGAATGAATCTTGTGAACCGGATCAAGCGAAGCGATTCATCTGAAAGATCCGATTCAAAAGGAACGGTTTATTTACGAATCAAATCGAATCTCGCTACTTACGTCACAAACGCGCCAAGGAGAGCAAGGGATGTCATTTACAGATCAAATTAATTGATTAAAATAATAAAAAATGTAATTTGTATCTCTGTTGTTGTTGTTGTAGCCCAGGGGCCAGTCAGCTGAACCCATTTGTCGCTCCTCATCCAGCCAGGGTTCTTCTGAGTGACTTCTGCAGAAGAGGACTAAAGACAAAACACTCTCCTTTTTATCCTCAGAATTTCTGATTCATGGAAAAGACAAGATGGCTTCCTCACTGGAAAGCTTGTTTAAAGTGTCATTGTTTATTATTATATTAAAAACTACATTTAGCATTCCACAAACCCTACAGTGTAAAGGGTTTGGCTACTTTTTTATGCCTTTATATGACAAAAAACGGATTTATGATGTTTTATATGCTTAGTTTGTAAATAAAAGACAAAATCAGTGTGCAAATTGTGTGTTTTCATGCTTTCATATTACAAAACCACATTTATGTTTTGTACGTTCAACTTGTACAAGATCAAATCAGTGTGCAAATTGTCCATTTTAATTTTTTCATATAAAAAAAAAAAGATTTATATTTTATACGCTCAATTTGTACATAAAAGACAAAATCAGTGTGCAAATTGTGTCTATTTTCATGCTTTCATATTACAAAACCACATTTGTTTTATACGTTCAACTTGTACATAAAAGACTAAACTAATGTGCAAATTGTCCATTTTCATTTTTTCATATTAAAAAAAAAGATTTATATTTTATACGCTCAATTTGTGCATAAAAGACTAAATCAGTGTTCAAATTGTGTCTATTTTCATTATTTTATATTACAAAATCAAATTTATGTTTTATATGCTCAATTAAAATCAGTGTGCAAATTGTCTATTTTAATGCTTTCATACAAAACCAGATTTGTTTTATAAGCTCAATTTGTACATAAAATACAAAATCAGTGTGCAAATGGTGTCTGGTCGTTGCATTAATAAATACTGAATTGTGACTGTAGAAATATCACAAAACATACATGCATGAAAATAAAAACGCCATTTATAATCCTTTAGATACCTTTATTAAAACAAGTTTGTGTATAAAACATTTACAAAAAAAAAGATAATATTTTACAATTATCTGAATGACTACAAACCAATTAACAAATAAGCAACTGATAAAAACCATGAATGAACACACAGCACATCACACACAACTGAACATCAGACTTGAACTGGTCACTCTACAGTCGAATCAAACAGGACTTGAGCGCCTACATGGGAAAAGGATCGCTGTATGAAGGAAATTAAATCATATAACTGATACTAAAGTAAACCTGCAGCATGAAGAAATGTAATATGTAACCATTAAATATGAGCTTACATAAAAGATAAACCATCCTACACCTCAAAAACATCTAGCTGCATGAGAAACAAGGGCAGAATACAACTGTAACCAAATTATTTAATAATATACAACAAAAATGCTGTGTGCTGTTGAGATTGGGACATGAAAAGCATGTTTTCAGTCTTAAGGGTGGTGGATCTGGCATGATTTTAACCCTCCCACGGGGGGCTGCGTCGGCCGTCTACATCTGTCTCTACGTGGTACAGCATATCAGACAGCGTGTGTTCAGTCACAGCACTCCAACCCATGTCACTTATCTGATCATAAACAGGAAGAAAAATCTGAATTATGACCATGAAAACAATCAACATCAATGGTGCAATCATGTAAAAGAGCTCAAAACATTGCAGATTGTTGTACTTCAACTGTACGATAAGCAGAAATTAATATTGGGTAATATAGCTCAAATATAATGATATTTTAAGATGAAATTAAAAATATTGATATTTATTTATTTGCACTAAAATGGCTTATATAAAGTGACGCTTTTCAAATTCAACAGTCATTGTTGCCAAATAAATTCAAAATCTAAAGCAGAAAGAAAAAAAAAGGGCAACACTTTTCAATAAGGGTCCATTAGTTAATGTATTAACTAACATGAACGAACAATGAACAATACATTTATTACAGTATTTATTCATCTTTGTTAATGCTAGTTAATAAAAATACAGTCGTTCATTGTTAGTTCATGTTAATTCACAGTGCATTAACTAATGTTAACAAGCACAACTTTTGATTTTAATAATGCATTAGTAAATGTTGGAAATAACATTAACTAAGATTAATAAATGCTGTAGAAGTGTTGCTCATTCTTAGTTGAAACCTTATTGTAAAGTGTTACCAAAAACAGAAAGTAAAAATTTTGTTGAAAATATCAATGCTTATTTTCCTACACTGCTTTTCACTTAATAAACACAAGGAAAAATCATATTTAATCATTTTGATTTAAATGCACATATACAGGGTTATTATAGTTAAAAACTAAAAAGTTAACTGAAATAAACTAAAATGTATTAAAAATATATATAATTTTATTTCAGCTAGTTGCAAAACTAACATTTCTTATTTTCATTTAGTTTAACTTGATTTATTAAAATAAAAATGTATGCAGATTAAAAAATTAAATAAATAAGTAATAAAAATTACTAAAATAAAAACCTAAACAAAAATGAATAAAAACTATATAGGCATAAAAACAAACAAAAACTATTACAAATAAATAAATAAATAAATGTCAAAACACAACAAAAGTTACTAAACTTTAAAATGAAAATGCAAAAAACACAAAAGTAAAAACTAATTCAAGATACTAAAAAAAAAAAAAATAGTAATTCAATGATAGCAAAACAACACTGCATATATCGTGACACATAGTAATGCACAGCTATTTATTCTTTTATAACAAAGATTTAAGGAAAACAAAAAAGGAGGCCCTTCCCAGACTGATCCAATAAAGACGGAAACACACAGTTCCCTAGAATCTCATTGTATGCATTAAAGCGACGTCATACACAGCATTAATGTCTTCTCTGGAATTAAAGGACCGAGCCAAAGCCGTTAATAATAAGGTGGAGTACAGTTGATTTTAGTCTCTGCATCAGCATAAACAGAACCGTCAGTGTGGTGCAGCAGTGGTTTAATGGGCACAAAACATCAGCTACAACATACGGCTGGACGATATGGCCTAAATTTATATCACGATATATTCCTTAATTTCGGTCGATACGATATAATTCCGATATCGATATGACCACTATTTATCTGGAATAGAAATCTTTTGTAACATTATAAATGCCTTTATCATCACTTATAATAAATTTTAAACATCCTTGCAAAATTAAATAAAAATAAAAGTATTAATTTCTATAATTTCTTTCCCAAAAAAATGGTGATAGTGGAATGGAATAGTCAGTGTATAATGTTACAAAAGCTTTTTATTTCAGATAAATGCTGATCTTTGGATCTTTCTGTTCATCAAAGAATCCTGAAAAAAAATGTACTCTTTTAAATATTGATAATCAGCAAATCAGCATATTAGAATGATTTCTGAAGATCATGTGAGACACTGAAGACTGGAGTAATGATGCTGACAATTTAGCTATGATCACAGGAATAAATTATATTTTAAAATCTATACAAATAGAAAGCAATTTTAAATAGTAAAAATACTGTTCAAAACCTTTTGACTGGTAGTGTAGGCTGATTATTCTTAAAGACTGAAACAAATGTGCTTCAGCCAGAAAAAAAGTATGAAAAGTGCTCCGAGTCGCTGCAGAAAACAAAAAAAACTGAACAACAACAAAAACTGGAAATGTTGCTGGAGACGGGCTTATTATTGAAAATGCAAACTCATTCTCTGCCAGCAGGAGGCGCTTTGAGAGCGGTAGAACTAGCGGTTTCCCTGGTTGGGGCTTTATGGCAGAGTGGCCCGACGGAAGCCTCTCCTCAGTTCAAGACACATGAAAGCCCGCATGGAGTTTGCTAAAAAACATCTGAAGGACTCCAAGATGGTGAGAAATAAGATTCTCTGGTCTGATGAGACCAAGATAGAACTTTTTGGCCTTAATTCTAAGCGGTATGTGTGGAGAAAACCAGGCACTGCTCATCACCTGTCCAATACAGTCCCAACAGTGAAGCATGGTGGTGGCAGCATCATGCTGTGGGGGTGTTTTTCAGCTGCAGGGACAGGACGACTGGTTGCAATCGAGGGAAAGATGAATGCGGCCAAGTACAGGGATATCCTGGACTAAAACCTTCTCCAGAGTGCTCAGGACCTCAGACTGGAACTAAGGTTTACCTTCCAACAAGACAATGACCCTAAGCACACAGCTAAAATAACGAAGGAGTGGCTTCACAACAACTCTGTGACTGTTCTTGAATGGCCCAGCCAGAGCCCTGACTTAAACCCAATTGAGCATCTCTGGAGAGACCTAAAAATGGCTGTCCACCAACGTTTACCATCCAACCTGACAGAACTGGAGTGGATCTGCAAGAGGGAATGGCAGAGGATCCCCAAATCCATGTGTGAAAAACTTGTTGCATCTTTCCCAATAAGACTCATGGCTGTATTAGATCAAGAGGGTGCTTCTACTAAATACTGAGCAGAGGGTCTGAATACTTAGGACCATGTTATATTTCAGTTTTTCTTTTTTAATAAATTTGCAAAAATGTCAACAATTCTGTGTTTTTCTGTCAATATGGGGTGCTGTGTGTACATTAATGAGGAAAAAAAATTAACTTAAACGATTTTAGCAAATGGCTGCAATATAACAAAGAGTGAAAAATTTAAGGGGGTCTGAATACTTTCCGTACCCACTGTACATTCATATAAATCACCGTGTTATGATTTTGAAACGTGCAGTGCTCGTGTTTACTCAACGAAGTCAAACGGCACAAATAAATCAATGTATGAGAAACACTGGTAATGTATATCAAAATATCGGAAATGTGTTTAAAAATCATATCACCGTTATATCGCGATACATATTGATATTGAATTATTGTCCAGCCCTACTACAACATAAATATCTCAGAGCCCTAGTAGAAATATTATGCCGTCATTTGGGGAATTAACAATAGGAATATATCAATCAGTATTACGGGAACGGGAAAAGTATTTAAGAGTAAAAAAATCAAACACTTTAGATTTTATACTCACTGGCTGATGCTTGATGTCTTTTGGTGGGTATTTGAAGTGTGGTCCAAAATTAACAGACACCTGGAGAGAGGAAACAGCATGAAAAATAAAACACATCCACTGATTTCGGTTTGTATGTGTGACATAATCCTTTCAATTACATC